TGTCGTGATTCAAGTGATATAAAGAGAAACACCTAGTTGTGAAATTATGTTGTCGTTGAAGTCGCCAGTCCTGGTACCTTCTGGTGATGCATTCGTGGCTGCTATCCATGTTTTCTGCTTGTGGGAAAGTCCACTCAGAAAAGAGTATACTGACTCCGAGCCGATCAGTTCTTATTTTAGCCCCTTAATGCCGAGCAAAACCCGGAGCCTCCGGTCTCCGGGCGGACGCTCTACCACTAGACAACGGAGACGGTAAGTGGCATCTATACCGCGACTTTTCGCTATGGCATCGCATAGCGTCACATTTCTCCACATCATCCTCTGACTTATGTAGTATATGCAAGTAGTTTAAGAAGTACGCACACACTTTATAAGTGCAACTATCTTGAACGCCACTTTAAACACGATTTCACCACACCTTCTCTGATTTTTAAGGTGATTGCTCCCCGAACCTAAACATATCATTGGCTTCATATAGTTAATTCCGCTTCACTATTATAAATAAGTTAACAGGTTGCAGGAGTCATGTTCTAATCATGCCTTTATTTCAATGAAAAGGCATTGTTAATAGTTTTCGCTGTAACAAAAACACACGACCTTATTGTTGACAGTACTTCTTATTGAGTGCATCAGTCTGCAATGGCGCCTTTTTGCTCCCGTAGGACTGCAACCAATGTTTCTCATGCAGAAGACTACATTCAAAACGACGATATCAGACGACATGGTAACTGTGCATCTTCCACCTTCGATGACCAGACACAAAAAGGATCCGGGTCCCTACTATATTTGTTTGTTTGTTGTTTAACGCAGAACTCAGCAATATTCCAGCTATATGACTGCGGTCTGTAATTAATCGAGTCTGGACCAGATAATCCAGTGATTGATATCATGAGCATCGATCCACGCAATTGGGAAACGATGACATGCGTCAACCAAGTCAGCGAGCCTGACCCCCCGATCCCGTTAGTCGCATGGGTTGCTGAAGACCTATTCTATCCCGGATCTTCACGGGTCGTCCCTACTATATGAGGTGTCTCTATCATACAGACATCTCGTCGTCCACGGCATCCACGTCAATTTAAAAAGAGGATATTCCTACTAGAGTCTGCATTGATGATACTTCTGAGGAAGTCGCCAAACTGCCAGTGGCACGGTGGCAGCGATCATGTTCTACCATGGCTATCCCATGGTATTTATAATCGCCAACAGCCACAACTAGCCATCATTATTCCACAACCCATTATCCCCTTTGAAGTTCCAAGGCATCAAGGAAAGTACACTTTGGCCACAGCCTTTACCAAACAGGCCACTACAGCCAACCACCTTGATAGACCCAAACAATTTAACCACTTTGAGACAGTACCATCATCTCTACAAGAGATTCACGAGAGGAAGGACCTAAATTTAGCTTTGTGTTGGTACCTGATGCTTTAATCTTCAAATCATGCACCATACAAATTTGGGATGGGTAACAAAAGGTAAGGTTGGGTGCGGATAAGATATTGCAGAAGAGTATTAGACATCCACAATTTCATAGCCGTTTGCGTCTGATGATCAGATTTAGCACAGAGACAGAAGGCAATGCTTTCTGTCCTTTTCACATGATGTTTTCAGGACAAGCAGATGAAGCCATTGAACAACTCAGGGGCAAACATGGCAAGTAACTATTTTTATGAGCAAGTAATTTTAGTGGCGGTAGGAACTGTTGAAAATATGTTTGTAATAATTGTCAGTAGCAACACATGATTGAACTACTTTTAAAAATGCCAGATTTGAAGTGTAACAAGGGGAGTTTTAAAGAAAGATTTTGTACTAGTACCAGATTTATCTGCCCTTGTGTACATGGACATGGCACCCTTGATCATTTTCTAAAAGGCTGACTGTACCTGTTAAAGAGCAATAATGTTTTGCTTTCTGGACCGAAACAGGCCTCTTTTCAAGACATTTAACATTCATGCATGCAATTACATTAATTATAGCCGCTGCCGCTTATTTGACCCATTGCACTGCTTTTTACATTATAAACGTAAAACTGTATGTTTTAATATATTTTACAGATTAATCATTAATCTCGTTTGTTCATTTACTGATTTCACAAAATAATTTTCTTTGTTAACCTCTGCGTTTTAATTTGGAAATCACCTTGTAACACTACACTATTTATAGTGCCAGGAAGACCGGGTTTGCCATTCCCTCTATGGCATTTTATCCCCTTGGCCTTGTTTGCGCCAATCAAAACGCTACATCAGGATCTAGATCAACTATGGTGCTTCTGGAAAGAGATGAGGAATGACAGGCATATTTTGTATTATCAGGGACATTCAATATGCAACAACTGTAATGGCTGCGGTTGGGTGCACCAACATTGTCGTTTCTAACACGTGTGCTCAAAGTGCAAAAAGACCCATCAAAACTATCTGTGTTCAGATTTCAGCCAAACTTCAAGCAACAACAAGAGACATTTACTGAAAGCATTTTCATGCTTAGATAATACATATCAACTGAAAAATTATTCAATCACTGTGCTATTTCCATGACTGGTAACTTCATTCAGGGGCTCGAGCAAAGTTTTCAATTAGGCATAGAAAATCCTTCAACTTCTTCTACAGTGTGTGGTAATTTCCTGTCTATCAGAGGGTCCAGAAACATCAGATTGAAGCGGGAGTAGCAAGAGAAAGGGTTTGGCCCTGTTAACCGCCTTTCCTTACTATCGTGTGCGTTCGCTGGGCCTAGTGGAGGGGAAATACTCAAAGAGGCAACACCTTATTGGCACTGTTATGTGCAAGACCGACCTCGCTGATTGCTGCATGTTCCTGCCGATTAGTCCATCCCTGTGGCTCCTCCATGGCATTAAATAGCAAGGTCGATTGTTTTACTTGACACGCCTCGTATTTGGATGCAGATCAAGCTCGTACATAGCTGTGATAGTGGTGCCTTCATCTGCTCATGTTTAAAATATGTCAAGTACAAAGGTCAAGAACGAGGTTACCCATAACTCCTTCTTTATTATGACCTCCCGAGAGCATGTCAGTCAACCAGTCCTGTCAGTACGAGCAGTGATAGATCTAGCTACGTGGATCACAATGGCAATGCTTCAAACTTGAGTTTCTCTCATGATGAAGTGGAGAATGTGAAACATAAGCATGAAATTCCCAAGCGTTACAGAATTCCTAAACGATCTTAAAACAAAACAAATCATAGAAATGAAAGGTTTTATTCAGAATCGTCTCGCCCAAGTGAGCATATCTTGAGTTGTATACCGAGAGTGAGTCGATAGCAACGATATGTTTACCAAATCTAATCATTTTCGCAAACCAAATTGTGACCTAATCAAACCTTCACAGAAGAGGGGGGCGTTCTCAGTTATGAAAGTTTATGCAGTTTGAAACGAGACTTATCCCAACGATGATTATCTGCGGTTTTCGATCAGCAAATTAGATACAGACACGTAGGGTTTACCACCTCATTTATCAAAATTCTTTCACAGTAAATTCTCAAACCTTTTGATAAGATAATGTGTTAAATGAGAAGATCGCAATAATCAGGATAATCAACAACTGCAAGCCATGGGTGGGTGAGGGAGTGAGTGAACAGTAATACAGTTATGCGTATCAGCTTGTAGGAGGAAAGCCCAAAGTGGTGTAGGCCTAGAGGTTTACCATTTAGAGAAACCCACGAACACGGGAATGGTGCTGACATACCTGGAACAATAATCGGAGCGAACCGGAATTCGAACCCACCGTCATAGATTTCGGGTGTGTTCATTGTTCATTGTTCATCATGTTTTCGCACAGTCTGCTCGGTCAAGCCACGTGAGTGTGCTATCTCATTTGACCTGTCCGACACCTCTATGAAAAACCTGAAACAAAAAACTTTAGTGAGCTGTTGAGAAACGAAGACAAAACACAGCATTCAGAATTAAACGCCTACTGGTTTTTTTAAATATTAGAATGTTACAAATGCACGTGATAATTGAACACGTTTCATTATACGAAAGATCCGCCCATGCAATGTTAAACGGGAGCATCTCAATCGAACGCAACCAAATTCTGTGAAAACTTAATTGGACCTATACCCAACAGTTGGCTCTGATCAAATTGATCAATCTACACGACATCTTACAGAAATATTTTGAAATATTATCCGCATTGAATCTACGCCCCGTCAGAAGAATTACCAAGTCTCTGAAATATAGGCATTCAAGAATGCCGTCAGATTGCAGTGTGCAATGTGGTTGTCACATTAACTTGAACCCAATATGATATCCTATCAATGCTGGCCGATAGGGATGAACCGATTGCCTCGTCTTGATACCTTATTGCTAAGGAGATAAATGTTTTGGAATTTGTTGATTTGATACAGTTAAAACATTTTAAGATATGTTTTACTTTTTATCCCAAAATAGAGGAGCTTCAAAGATCAGTCTGAACTACTTGACAAGCGTTTGGTAGACAGTTTATGACCATGTTCAAAACTGATTTATGAAAACCTATAATATCGCGTATCGTTTATGTCTTTGTAAAAAATACAGTTTGTTCTATTTTTACATGCGAATTAAAATATATGTAATTACCAGATTAGAAACATCCACGAAACGCGTTTTGATCTGCCGTCACTGTGCTCATTAGAGATCCGTGAATCCTAACAGTTGTAACATTACCAGCATGATGTAGTTACTGGCGGGAACATCAAACTGATTTACAGCCGTTATTTCTCTACCCACCTATCAGTCTGACATGAAACAGTTTCAACGCTAAATATACACACATCATATTCCGCGGTACTTAAAGGTTGAACGTTCCTGCCACACTAAGGGGCACCTACTGACATGTGTACTTAACGAACGAATCAGGTAACGTGACATGAAAAAGTGTAAAGTGCAAGGACGTTTCGCGCTGTTGCACTTCTCGTTCTTCACAAATGAAAACCACGAGGGCCAGAGAAGCTTCTGTGCATTTGTTCACGTGATGTCCAGAAGGCGGGGTCTAACAGTACATTTGATGGGAGTCACAATGTGTCGCTACTGGTTAGAGCAATTCGCAGGCCATATTTGTGCTGCCTACACTTAGCCGAAGTGAACATTCGGTTCCGTACAGGTCATTTATTGATCTGAAGAAATTACCCAGGGAAAAAGAGTGCGAAGGGTTAAGGCTCTGCCGACCATAAATACACTTCAACAAACTTAAGCTTATAGGGACACTTAGGCATTGTAATGTGATGTGTATGTGACATGTTTGACACTACTGGATTGCCAACAAACGGATTCCGATTATGCACGGTATTTCACTTCCTAAAGTTTCAACAAACCTGTGACGTCAAGATTTACTGAAGTATATAAGAAGAGGATTATACATACTTGAACGTGCGTACCTAGTGACAACGATGTTGTTTGGTGAGTAAATGATTTATCATTATTCTTTGCCGCCTAGAGGTCGTCTGGCCCTTAACCTGTTGTAAACCATGTCCTGTATGTCTTGTTGTAGTTCTAATTAGGTGGATCCTATTGGTTCCATGTTTTCCCGTGGCCCGTTTAGTTTTTTGGACGCGAAGAACGATCGCTAAAACAAGCTTGGTAACAATTGAACTGTCAATACTTGACAATAATGAGTCGAATAAACTTACGGTTAAGTGAAATAGGCCACCAACTTGTCTTTACTTGCTGGTATGGGTAAGGGAAAGTTTGTATAATCAAGAAACAATAGTACTGTCAAAAAATACTTAGTTTATTTCGATGACTTGGGAAACACGACACAAGTCAAGATGGCATGTGAAATGAAGTGTGCCACAGGTCGCGAGCCTGGAATGCCATGTTCATGCCTGGACCCAAGTATTGAGTGAGTCCCCTAGACTTAACAGACCCAGGGAAATTCCTCGTTTACATTGGGACTGAAATATTAACAGCATAGTGATCAAAAGAAAATAGAATACGTTTCGTCTGCATTCTATTTTTAAACATTCCCTACTGTGCCTCTGCTTTGGACTCCTGGAAGGGACTTTGTTGTGTTGTAGCATTGTCTATCGTCCAAAATCAAGCAAAGTCCAGCAAAACGCGTACGTGACTATCACACAACACAATCTTGCCCTTTTTGAATATTGTTTTATCTAAACTATGAAAGCGCAGAAATGGTTGTACTCCTTTCAATTTCAAAGATTATAAAACAGTTAAAGTGCAATATCGGCTGCATTTAATCAAAATGAATATAAATCTTTGATAATTTCTTTAGAAATTATTTCATGTATCTTTACTGTTATCAGTGCTGTTTTCATAAACAATTTTATTTTGAAAGCAAGAAACAAACTCCTCGTCCTTCTATTTCAATTAATTCTGGTCCCTAAGTCTTAACTGCTAGACGCTTAACCGAACACTAACAAAGCAAAACAAAAATCCTTTGTGGACACTGGTTGGTTGCGTTTTGTTTTTTGGTTAGGGTTATCTAATTAAGACATGGCACCATCTCATGAGTAATGATATAATAGTGTTATTAAAATAATATATGCAAAGGTCTGGTCCAGTTTATACTTAAAAGTTTTCACCCAATCAAATGACCGCTGACCTAATTAATATGTGACTTGTGCAAATTGATCTGGCATATACACATATCTGACATTAACATAAAACCCCAAAGGTAAAATTTGTTCCAATTCAGCTTGTAGCTATAGGACTTAGAGATGTTTCATGCTCAGCCAATAAAATGACAGTTATACGTCTTTTCAATAATCTATATGTTTAATTAGGCGTCAACATTGCAATACGACAATGTAACATGTCATCATCGTCAGGGTATCACTTGAATGATGATCACGTGAGCTCATGTTTTGGCGTGTTATTTCAGTTGCAGCTTGACTATATATATATATATATTTAAAGTAATAATAAGCATAAGCGTTACTCTAGCAATAACATTGGTACAGCTGGTCGCTATTGCCTGATATCTTTTAGGTATGGAACAATATAACCAGTCACCGTCGAGGCCCCCACGCTCGCTCGGAAAACTATATTGACCACTCACAGTATGGCATATATGATATATGTATCCATTCTCTGTCAACTAAAGTTCGTTTCTAGGCATCAATAACGGTAATCTGACCCCGGTTACTGTAAATCACGGTGAGTTTTTCGATCTACAGATCACTTCACATATGATTTCGCAGATTAATGTACACAATATTGAATTAAATTTTGAATAAAAATAATAAAATAGGTTACAAACATAAGTCCAGATATACACGGGATACTGGTAACCATTAGTTATACGTCCCATTTGTCATACACCTTTAAACAACATAGGTCATGGCTGAATGCACTGATTGGTCTACCCTATTTTACCTAAATATTAGAATGGAGTGATCCATTAGAAAAGTGATCTATATGAGTGAATTTATATCCAAGGAATATTCGATAATGTAGTAAAATAAACACATAAATATATATAAATTCTTTATTATTATTATTAACAATGAATATCAGTCTTTGTTTAGCATAATATCAATAGCACTGTTCGTCTAAATTGTCTTTGCTTAGCACAATATCAGTAGCATTGTATGTTTGAATTGTCTCTGTCTTACTCCAACCCTGCATAGAAGCCTGCAGGTCAAAACATTACAAATAATTAACCTACCAATATCTTATTGTTTCATAAATATTGTTGCAAGACAAATAAACTAAATTCAACACAGCCTTTTTGTCAGATCATAACATTTCACAATACCACTCGGACTTGGCAATTAGTATCTTTACCTTGGTCTATGTTGTACTGCATTTAGGGCTGGTCCATTACTCAGTAGGTGTTGTCTTAATTTATCCTTTCCTGTCCTCCTCCCAAACTGTGTAACAACTGGGTTTATAGAGGTGTGTGACAAATGGGACGTGTAACTAATGGGATATAACCTGAATACTTTGTGTAACCAGACAGATTAATTTGCGTACTTCAGTAAAGATTTGTTGACCTGATATTTCCCGTGTTACGCGCACACGGCACACGGTAGTGTCTTTGGGGTGGGGCCAAAAAATATCAAAAATCGTTATGGCGTGTATGAATGTTAGACCGTACATATATGCTGTGATGCGTATCTGATACGTTTTCTAAATTATCTCCCAACGTATCGTGCATATTTTCATCTGTACATACAGAGACACGACCTGTTTCTTGAGCCCTGTAATATAATAATACATCAAGTCAGCTATAGAGCCTTGTTGCTCAACATGAGATCTGTACTGTAGTAATAACAGTGTATTACGCGGACACGTTGACTGAGTTACATGTACTCGCACTATAGCTGAGAATTGTTGGAAGCGGATTAAACTCAACCCAATTAGTGGTTAGATTACCTGCACATTACTGAACGTGTTCGTGCTCACATTTTTCAGAACATCTATCATGTCCAGTATACGAGGTTTTGGCTCACCTAAGCTTGTCTTGTCCGGGGACAACATCGTTTGTAAAATTTTAAACATATCTTCTCCCCAGAAACCACAAGACCAATCATGCTGAAACTTCACATATTTGTTCCCACATATTTGTCACGGCTGGCCTAGTCGTCTGAGGTGTCGCAATTAGCTGTGCAGAGTTGCATACCTTGGCACGCCCGAAACCAATGATAGTGGCCCCAATTATGTTTCTAGGTTTGTCAGCACCATACCCGTGCTCCTGGGTTTCACTGAAGTGGTAAACGTATGAGACCTTGCATCACTTCAGGCTTTCCTCCCACATTTGGCTGACACGCCGTGATATAACCGAATAATGTTAAAAGCGGCGTTAAACCCAACTCACTCACTCACTCACTAATCCTGACTCGAGGTAATTTCCTCTGAAATTCCCTCTGAGGAATGCATCAATGCATCAAGAATCAGTCAAATTCATTAGAATTACCGTTATATTTGCTGATCTTGTACTCTTAGTAATATTGATGTCATTTATGGTCTATTTCTACCAGGTGTCGTCATTTCTTGTTTAATTTGAATCTGTGACACTATTACCGGTGCTTCCGGTTTGTCACTTCCCTTTTATTGGATAATGGCGTCTCTTCTGGTCCATTTCTACCAAAAGACGCCATTTCCTGATTAGATGGACCTTGTACTGCTACTTCCGGTGCTGACGCCACTTCCGATTATGATGTAATTTCCTGTGATGACGTCACTTGCGGTTCTATCTCTTCAGGTTCTGACGTTACTTCCGGTCACTGGAGGCAGTCGGATCGTCGCCCCCCTTTTTTTCGATTGAAGGGAAAACTATTGTTTGATGATAGTTTGCGCGGCAACAACAGGCCCAAGGGAGTATATGCCCTCTAGGTCCGGTTGCACGTCACGCAAGTAAAAACTGGTGAAGGTGTTTTGTGAGGCCCACTGGCAGCCATACACTACTTGTTCTGCTAAGACTGATGTCAATGAAGCGGGACTCGTAGCTAGAGCTCTGATTTCATGAGCCGAGCAGGATCCAAGATGTGGGGTGGAATTCTGTGCCTGTGTATAACTTGCTGCAACGGTAGCCTTAAGCCAGCCCGCATTCGTAGCCTTGGTGACGTCTTTGTTGGAATCAGGCTTGCAGGATATAAAGAGTCTCCTTCGATGGCGTCTGTGTGGGTCTGTAGCCGAGAGATAGAACTTGAAAGCTCTGATTGGACACAAAAGTCTGTCTGGGAGATCCACTGTCGGTCTCAAGGCGGGAATGGTATAGCATCTATGGCCGCAGGTACCCATGGTGGTAGATTGATTTTTGCTACAAAATATGGTAGCAATCTTAGAATGATTGAGGTCCAATGTTGGTCATGAGTGAGACTAGAATTGTCCAAGGCATGGAGTTCTGAAACGCTAGCTGCTGTCGCCATGGCAAGGAGGAAGGATGCTTTCCTGGATTTTGCGAGTAAGATGGCCCTAGCCGTGGGTTCGTAAGGTTCCATTAAAACTGTTGACAACACAACGGATAGATAAAACTTTGGGAAGATACGAGGTGTGCGAACATCTTCTAGCAGAAAGGATCGCTTTAAGCTGGTTAGAATGGGATGGTTTCCAATTGAGAGTCTGTCATGTTGAAGTACAGATTGAAGAGCCGATCTGTAACCTTCTATCGTCCCATTTCGGAACTTATTGTCCTGACGTAGTAGAAAGTCCGCTACTGTCCGTGGATATGAGGATGGATGATTTGGAGAGACGTATCTTGCATGCCAGGATGGTGTAATAGATGGCCTTTATTTCCTTGCTAGTTGATATGAAGGATCCACTCTCTGGTGCAACTGATGGAGTCAGCTCATCCACTTCAGTCGAGTCTCCGCTCATGTCGGGACATGACGAAGCGTGGAAAACTGTGTTGTCAGTGAACCAATGTCAAAACCCTGGTAGATATAAAGGCACGCCCGTTCTGTATCGATGAGCGGTCGTGGGAAGACTTCAACAAT